AGTCTATATCTATTTCAGTTTTCAAGAGCTAGTCTAGAGATTTTTAGATGAATGTAAAAACGTGAAAAAGAAAGGTTTCACAACAGGATGAAATCAAAATTAGAACAGCCCATAAACAACCACAAACATCAAATAAGGGCGTGTGTCCACCTGTCCGAAGAAGATTGGCTGTTTTAACCATAAATGTGCGTAAATTTTTTTTAAAGTACAGGATGTTACATGTAAATTATGGAATCACACACATTAAGGGGCCTGCCAGTGTCAGTCCATGTAATCGGTTTTGGTGGAACTTACGCTCTAACATAACACATATAAATCTATAATATATATCATGTATATTTAGAATCTAATGAAGGTAGGAGCATCAAATTAAATGACGTTACACTATGCAACATTCCCCCCCCCCCCCCCTTTTCCCCAACCAAAAAATTGATAGAAAAACACATCAGAACAATAAGAAGAAGATAAAAAGTTACACACTAACAAAATAAAACACCACAAAGAGTCAAAGAGGGAAAAATAAAAGTAAATGTAACGTATTCAATAAATCAACGTGGTGACAGCAAGTGATAAAGAGACTAAGTGAAGCTAAGTGAACTTTCTTTCAAAAGTAAAGAGGTTCGGTTTCTTTCTTTTTTTCTTTTTTTTTTAAATTTGACTTTTATTCCCCGACCAAAAAATGCCAAAAAATCGAGCCATGATTGATTTGTCGCGGCCGCGACAAACGCAGAAGCTAGTTCTATGTGTCGTTATCAATAACTCTCCTGTAGATCTAGATCTAGACAGGACACGAGTGAACACAACACATTAAGTTTAAGAGCAGCACCCTTCATAGGCAACACGTCATATCTGTAGCGAAAAATTGTTTGGAACTGTAGCATTTCTTTATATAAATATTTACTGCAGACATTTTTTGGACCGATTGAACCATAATTGTATACAAAGAATCTTTGGTAGGCCTATACTCTATATAATATCCGAAATTTGCGGGAAAGGAAGTGATTTCAGAGTGTTCGGAGAAATAGTGCCCAGCTTTCTTTTCCTGAACGTTCGGAGAAATAGTGCCGGCCTTTTTTTAAACGAAGTGACTATTTCTCCAAACGGTTTCTGATCTCGAGAATTTTTGGTTATTTGTGAGATTTAGGTGTTATCCTTTCATTCTGCGAGGACTGGGAGGAGGCATTTTTTTTACATCGAATTCAATTTGTAGAGCTAGAGATTTTTAAATGTCTGATTCAGATAGTTGTGGTTGGGGTAACATTCCCGGACTATACTTCATTTGAAAATCCCTTCAAAAGGTACTGCAAGAAAACAAGACTGCTCGACCTTGGCACGTATTTTGCATTTAGTCACCCAGCAAAAACTAAAATCCTTCATGTTAAAAAAATCTCTCCACGCCCGGTAAAGATCGTGTAATGCCTACCATAGCACGCCGTTTGGTGTGATGTTTTTCCAAGAGACGTAATGTGATAATTATGATGCAGTGCTCCGATGATGCTGCTGCTCATCTCTACTGGGCATTGTTTATCGGGCCGGGGGAGAGAGTAATCTCCGGGTGTCTTTACGGGAATTTTAGTGCTCTTTATTGTCTTTGCGTCTACCTTGTTTCAATTTCAAGCATCAGCATTCTTATGGTTCTGAGCTTCAACGATCTAAGCGATCTTCCATCACCAGAGCTGCAGTTAGCCACAAATGTGAAGTTTTAACGTGTGAAACACATCGATACGGAATATTATACGTCAAGCCACTGACCTAACATGTCATTCCATGTGGCACCTCCAAAGATTCTCTACTGTATCGTGTATACACGATCTTTGGTACCTCTATCGCCTTATAAAAATAGTCTGTGGGTATCCCAGGAAGTTATGACATCACATAACTAAAATTAGCAGCCAATCAGGAAGATGCGTCGTTTGACGTTTAGTCGCATCATGTCTTTCCATTTCCCCTTTGCGTTTTTCTATATAATTTAACTGTGTAAAACGGGCACATGTCCAACACGGCCGCAGCCACCATATTTTATAACACCTGTCTTAGACACCACCTTAGTGTGACTCCATTATGTAAACTGTGCATTGGCCCCTGGCGTTGAGGGCGAGCTGCAAAATCCAATCACCTGTCGTTATTGTTCGATAGTCCCTCCAACCGATCATGTTGCGTAGGCCCCTCCCACTGTTGACCAATAGGTAACAAAATTTTCAGCTACTGGTGAAGTAAGCGTGTGATCCCTCAAAGCCCCACCCAGAACTAATCACAAATCGTAAGTGAGATGAGTGGTCACTGTTTACCCAGTCTGTAACAAAGTAACAATAGGTATCAATATGAACTTGTGACAAAAGTGTCGACCACTCGTTCTCCGACTGGTTGCAACCCATGTGTTTATTTTACCATCGCACACACTTGGTCCTCCTCTGACACATTTCGTTTTATTGTCACCTTGCACAAAAGCAGCAGCAAAAGAAAAAGAACCTAGAGAAAACAACAACAACAAATCGGCTACCTTCGGTTAGGACCTCAGAAGGGAGTGGTTTGTTTTCTTCATTTTGATCAGTCCTCATCCCTAAGATGGCCACCTGTCTTGTACGGCCACTTTTCTCCTTGACAATGGGTGGCCGTCTTACACTGGTTCGATTGTAATGTAAATACGGTTTGTCCACCAAAGTTCAATCTGGCCAAAATAGGCCTCGATAATCTAGATCTAGAGAAATCTAGATATCTAGCCCACATTTTTAATACAAAAAGGGAAGCTCTATTCGGACTTTGAGTCCGAATGTAATCTAGTCAGAATATGGATTCTACTTGGACTGGGGTCCGAAAAAAATGTTTTATATGTATTCAGACTCAGCTTTTAAGTGAGTTATAATGTGGTGAGTGTAAGGAGGTTACATAATATAACTGTCGTCGGGGAATTTTACGTAAAACAGAATTAGAACTAGAATTGTCAACTTGGACTGTGCAATTGTGTCAAAAGTCAAAAGACTGGACTCTCATTAGATCTACCCAATGGCAGTGTTTTTAAGTAGGCCTACACCGACAACTAAGGGTCTTACACCACCATTACAGCATCATCATTACATCCACCACCATTTGTCTTTCCACATGTTTCATTTGATTTTGTTGTGTGTTATAGTTTTTCTGAAATAAATTTTTTTTTATCATATATATGGCACAAAACCGACAGCCGTGGGCTCTTCCCAACACCTCTTCCCCCAGCAAGCCGAGATCGTGCGTGATGGCTACGCGCAGTCTCATTGTTCGAATAATTAACTTTACCCCCGGCAAGGTCAGCTCAACTTAGTTTACTTAGTCGTTCTGTTCATATTAATGAAAAAAGGAGGGCCAGTTAAAATAGATCTAGTAACAGCATGGATATTAAAGCTCACGTCTCAACTGTTATCTTTATAATTGAAAAATGTTAGTAAATGCTGGAAATATTTTAGGAGCAAGGGTCGGAAGTCGTAGTGGACGTCATGCTGGACTCAATTCAGAGTCCGAATATAATTTTTGTCTATTCAGACAGAAGGCAGAAAAATATTACTTGCTAATGAGGTAGGGTTCACTTACCCTACATGGCCGCTTTTGTCCTGAGCAAAATCTTCTGTTTCTTATGTAATCAAACGGGAAGGCAATTTCCAAAGAGCCCCGATTTTAGGCCTCCTATAGTATAAAAGAAGCAATTTAAAAGGATCTGACTTCTAATCTAGAATCTAGAAAATATACATCTATCTAGAAATCTGGATCCTAAATTTTATCATGATTTGAACTATTATTATTATAACAACATAGTGTTACCTAGGTTACGTTTTTGGTACTACTTCAGAATGTGGGTCCCGTCTGTTTAGACTTGGTATCCTCTACACAGAGTACTGAATATCGATACTGATTTAAATATTCGGTATTGATGTTTTACCAGTAGCCTACAACATGAGTAAAATTTCACTTGTTTTTAACATGGCAAGGGGGATTTCAAGGGGGCTTGCCCCCCTGACCTAACAAAAACATTGGTTTCCGGGGGGCATGCCCCCCCTGAAATTGACCATAATTTAATGTTTTGCAATTAGGTTTGATTGATTATCGCTCTCTGTATCGGCATGCGCGTAAAAAATAATCGTTTAGCAGAAGTTATCGCCGGTGGGGTTAAAGCTGTATCCCCAAACGGGATTCACATTCTTAAGTAGTACCACGTTTTTTATAATACTTCAAAACAGCTGATTGTATTCCTACCAAAGTTGAGACCACAAAGATGACTAGATCTAGAATCCAGATTCTATTTGTCTTCACTTTTCAGCATCATCGTATGGATGGTTCAGTGATGGAATTGTGGAGTTGTGGATGAAACGATTAGTCTGGTCATTTATATATATAGATTTCTACCAAATGTGAGGCAGCGTGGTGGAATTGTTGAAATCGAAGAAACAGGCATTTTTCTGCCAGTGTGGAAATTTTTTTCGAATGTTTATTTTTGGCTTCATAAAACCTTGTATTTATGCCCATTTAAAAACATGTTTCCATATGATATTTACTGAAAAACATTGATTAAAGGCACAAAACCTTTAATTCTTCAGTTTTCAAAGACTCTATTGCTAGCCTTTTGGAGCTACCAAACTTTGGCGGCCAGGTGACCTCACTTCCTTCAATCGCAAATAACTTGAGTTCTATTCGAGATAAATGGATATAATAATTTATTTCATTAGAAGCAATTTTAAGGCAAATAAATCAGTTTTCAGATGATACCAATAACTCCACACGTATGCCCAAAAATTGACGGGTGCCTGATTTCACCGCATCGTGACACAAATATTCTTTTCTGATAAACGCAAGAATCTAGGGCAAAACAGTTTCTTAATTAACAACAACAAATATTAGACTCGCTGCCAGCACACGAAAGGATAATGATCATAATTCAAACACCTAAAACCACAGCTTCTTTCACGACAGATCAATCACTTAAAACAACTCGTCATACCATAAAAAGTGAGATTTTCAGACACCAACAGCCAACATACACTTTTTTAGTGAGTTGTTTTTCACAAAAGTGAGATTTTCAGACACCAACAGCCAACATCCACTTTTTTAGTGAGTTGTTTTTCACAAGAAAGACGTACAGTACTGTCTATGTATTATAATGAGTCTCAGGGCTGCCCACTCACCACCAAATATATTTTGATAATCAGCAAATAAATGATTATAATAGTAGCCCCTAATCTTGCTGAAAAGTTTGTAATATGGACATGGACAGCCTTTCCCTATGAGGAGTCAAGGACAGGAGTTTTAGATTTAAAATTGAATGTGACATAGATAAGATAAGATAAGATAAGATACATCTTTATTGTCCAGATCCTGGCACATTGGTTTGGTGTTCCACCACGAGTACACACACACACACACGCACACACACACACACACACACACACACACACACACACACACACACACACACAAACACACACACGTACACACGTGCACGCACATGCACACACAAGTAGGCTTACAATCACATACATAATATAAATGAGCAGCAATATAAACAATAATAATCGTAAGCTAGATACACACTTAATGTTATTTTGATGCATGCTGTAAGGTCGTAAGTTCACTAAACAAGATGGTTAAGATGGAAGCATTTTGATAGATGATGGTAAAAATGACCTTCTGTATCTTTCTTTGTTACAGATCAGAAGCATGGGTCTTTTACTTCTGACTGATGTTTTTATTTGAGGGAACAAGGGATGTTTGTTGTCTAAAAAGATGGAATTAATTTTCTTAGTGCAAGCTGTTATGTACAATTCATCCAAGTACGGGAATGAAGATGTTGAAATTTTACATGCTTTCCGTATTAGTCAATTTAATTTTTCTTTATCTTGTTGTTTTGTGTTCCCGGCCCATGCTGTTATACAAAAATTGATCGTACTTTCTATAGCATCATTAGTATCAACAAAAGGCGTGATGAAAGAGGTCTTGGCACAATCCTCTTTGTCAAGTTAAGGTGGGGACAAGGAATTGGGGGGGGGGGGAGGTAAAAAGTTGTTCCCGCATCCGATCCGGACATTGGGGATTGCCTTGTTAGGGAGACAACTTCCTGGGCCTTCGATGTATTGTGGTGGGGTGGCCAGTTCCTTCCCACGGTGGCTTTACTTCGCCAACTCGAAGTCAGGTACCCATTACTGCTGGGTGGGCAGGAGGGGGCGAAAAAAAATCAGTGTCCGAACGGAGGCTCGAACCTGGACTTTCCACTTCGGAGACTAGCACACTAACCGCTCCGCCACCGCACCCTCAGGGGGGTAGGTAGGTGTAGTTACTTTTTAATTTTGTAAAAACAAAAGAAACAGAACAACAGACGCCGTTAAGCGTTTGCTCCTCATGTGTAACACTAGCTGTATCACTGTACACTAAGCTGCACGTTGCGCTCAATACATGTATGTGTCACGACCCGGTGGAATCAGGCGCTCGTCTATTTTTGGGTATATGGAGTAACTGGTATCATCTGCAAGCGGATTTATTTGCCTTGCTTCCAATGAAATAAATATCTATTCATCTTGAATAGAACTCAAGGTACCTGCATTTGACGGAAGCGAGGTCGCCTGGTTTCAGCGGTGAAATTAGAGAGAAAATGGCCGCCAAAGTTTGGTAAATCCAATAGCTAAAGAGTCTTTGAAATTTGAAAAATGACTTATATTTTGTGCCTTTAATCAATGTTTTTCTGTTAAATTCACTTGGAAATTAAGTGTGTTTTTATGTTGGCATAAAAGAGGTTAAGCCAAAAAAAATAAATTAAGTAAAGATTTCCAAACGAGCAGAAAATGAATGCATATTTTGATGAGCGCCTGATTTCACGACGATGTCTCGCATAGCTATTATTTTTATGCAGTGTCAAATTTCACGCAATGATCTGCTTTGTTCCTTTTGACATTCTGTCTCTGGCCCGGGCTGTCTCCCACAATGTGGAAGCGGGAAATTTTAAACGCTTCTTTAAGCGAAAGTTTGCCTTTAGACCATAGCGACTACAGTTTGCTAAGCTTAAGAGCTAATCCTGGCATTACTGTCTTTCCAAGGGGTAATGTGACACTGAACAACTGGGACAGGTCAGTGCACAGAGGAGGTTGTTAACCTCAGACGACTGCATGTGTTGTATTGACACAAAGAGTCCAGGTCGGATTGTCTTTCTACCTCTAACATTTCAAGTGGGTGGGATTGGGTTGCGGAAGCCGCACAGCATGTATACAAAACAAAAAAAAACCCACAAAAGTTACAAGACGGCAACCTGTCACCAGCATTCCAACAACACAGGCTATTCACCCTGTCACTTACTCAACTGTCCTTGTTTTTTGTATGTTCTTTAATAGTGAATTTTTTTAACACACTTTAAAATAATGCCTAGGGCAGCTTTTTAAATATGACCTTATGATATCCCTGTTCTGTTTTCATCATCAACGTCAAGAGTTTATCTTTTTGTTGAATTTCTTCCCAGTGAATGTGAACAAGGGAGAGAATCTCACCGTGTCGTCAACACACTGTCCAGAATGGTCCGCCAAGTGGCCCTGTTGCCGGCCGGCTGTCAGCCATGGAACCGCAATGTTGTGGCCTCCAGCGGCCAACACTTCGCTTACAGCGCCACGCTGGCTATTTATATCTATAAAGTACGACTTCTTAAAACATTTTGTTTTGCAGATGCCTGTTTTTGTCAAGATTTTTTAAGACTCTTGTTTGGTCTGTGGAAATGAGTTATGACTCACAATATGTCTCTATTCTTTTTTTTTCTATGTGCTTATAAGTAATTTTCAACTTCTCAACCATACTGTGTTTCTTGATGATATGTTTTTAACTGTTCTGGTCCCAGGCAACTAAACTCGCACGAAAAAGTCAAGGAACAAAAATTCAAAGAAAGATAACTGAAGAACAGTTTAACCGAATTTGTTCATTTTTTCACAAGAGATGCTTTCGACTCTCTAGATTAAATGTGTAGAATTTCAGATTTCAACAACAACGAGAAGTTCATGTGAAATGAGATTAAGTCACACTGGTTGGATTTCAAAAGTCTGAACAGCCATAGTTCTTCATGAACATTGTCAGTAGTGGATGTAGCCACTCCGTTTGATCAAACACTCGGCACAGCGTCATGCATGGACAGGACAAGCCTTCGGAGAACTTGTTGGGGTAGGTTCTACACTCCTGGATGAGGTATCCCAAGAGTTTTTGAAAGTTTTGTGCAGGAGGGTGGTTGTCCCTTATCCACCGGTCAATGTGATCCCAAATGTTCTCTATTGGGTTCAAATCCGGACTACAGGCTGGTCAATCCATGCAGGTGACAGCTCGCTGCTGCAGGAAGTCCCCCACGATGCGTGCGCGATGTGGCTTGGCGTTGTCGTATCTGCTGCAGGAGAGGAACAGCAAGGGGACGCAAGATTTCCTCCCTGTACCTTGCTGCGGTCAAATTGCCCTGTATATGGTACAGGGGGTCCTGTGGTGAGCTGAGAAGCCTCCCTACACCAGAACGAACCCTCCACCGTAGGGTGCCACCTGCTGGATGCAGTCAGGGTGGAACAGCTCTCCTCGGCGCCTCCAGACGTGGGCTATCCTGTCTGGGTGTAGCAGGTTGAATCCGGATTCGTTTGAGAAGACTACCTGGTCCCACTGACGTCGTGTCCACTGTGAATGGCGAGCAGGCCACGCCTGGCGAGCTGCTTTGTGGGGCGGCGTGTGCCTTGGGCGCCTGGCAAGGACACGAGAAATGAACCTGGCTCTACAGATACAGTTCCTTACCGTCTCCTCACTCTCGTGGACATTGGCTGTCGCCCGTAGTTGGTCCTTGATGCCGTTTGCAGTGGTGGTTCGTGACGTCACGGCCTGTTTGACAATGAACCGGTCGATGCTGTTGTTGGTCAAACGGGGCGGTTCTGGTCAAGGCCTGTCCTGGACCCTTCCGGTCGCTCGCTATCGTTCTTGCAGCCTCTATATGACTGATGGAGACACAGGACTATTAAGCCCCTCACTGTCGTCACCTTCTTCAAAAAAATCTGTCGTGTCGATGTACAACAACTGGGAACGTGGAGCCATCTTGGAGCCAGGTAAGGGCTCGTCCTCTGTCGACGTCAGGCAGCGAGCGTTTTTGGACCGTCGTGTTGTAATGAAACATGGCTGAAAAACGCTGGCTTATAAAGGGTTGTAAGTGAGCAATATTCACAGCTAAGACATCTCTTTAGCATGTGCCAAGCTTAGTTTTAGCTAACAGTCCCTACCAATGTTGCTGATCGGAGAAATTTAGCCCATTTTTCATGCTTTTCGGCTGTGTTTCAGAATGCCCTGCGCCGTTGCTATGAAGCTGGTGCGGGCAAATTTGCAGTACATGCAAACTGTGTCTAGTCATCAGTGCGTGTACCAAGTTTGGTTGACTGATCTTAAAGGATTTGTGAGATATTGAAGTTTGAATTTGACAGGAGAAAACACAAGCTGTTCCTTGACTTTTTTGTGCGAGTTTATATTTGTGTGTGGGGCTGATGTTATGGCTTGTATATGCTTACTGTAACCACCAATATGTGCATTGTGTGGTCCTAACTCCTTGAAAAAAATGCCCATATCAATAACTCCTTGGTAACTCGTTTCTGGAAAATCTTTAAATGGACATCATACTTTACTTTACTTTTCCGATCCAGTGGACATCATAAAATTTTCGTTTTTTGAAATGTATTTCAAAGTTATGCATATCCTTTTTGCAGGATGACAAAGGTTTTAGAATAACAAAAAAAGTTCACCTATATATATATCTTCCCATTACATGTTTAGACTTTGAATATAACATCATCTAAATTATTATATTTCTCAATTGAAAGGTCCTTATGTGAATAGTCCAGAAAGTCAGATAAAAATGCTTTCAAGGAAGTTGAGATTGTTTCAGAATGCTCTCATCAGGTCTGCAGAGGTAATTATATAGACCGTAAAGCGCATATAGCTTGCTGTTGAGCGGAAATTTACACTATATTATAACATGGAGGCAAGTACAAATGCACACTGCTAACCCTACAGAAAAAAATCGGTAGATCACCGACTTTTTGGTCAAACTACCGATCCACCGATTTTGAGAGATAAGCCACCAACTTAGCAGGGTGACTGCCAGGCCCCGTGAATTACCCAGGAATTTGAGAAAGTTATCGAATATTTGAAAACCAAATCCGATAACACCCTTAAGTTAATTTTTGCAGGTCGCGATTGTGATATTCATTCGGCTTCCCCGAGAGTATATTTCTTCACGTGGACAGGCGGCTATGGTGGCAAGCGGAAGTGTATGTGTGATACCGACGTTTGATCGGGGTAATCAAGATATACTTTCACTTTCGTTACCACCCAGAAATTTGCCACTAGTAGTTTGATAAAGCAACATTAATTGTAACAACATGCAGGCTGTGCATGGCAAATGCTGTGTCGCCCTGAAAATAAATCAATATTTGTCCTGTGTTGTCACTTGTGAAAAGAAAAGAAAAGAATATTATAGTTATACAACCGTCTTGTCGGGATCACATTGTGAGCACCGGCAATTGTAGGGGTCACCAAGTTCATTCAAAGCCTGAGCGCTGCGAAGTATAGGACTCAGGAATGGGGGGATTATTGATTTTTTAAAAGATACACCGGGAGGGGGGGGGGGGGGGAAACTGAACTTGGAAGTAGTAATCTAAATTTTGATTACTACTAGATCTAGAACTCTCTGCAAAACGCGTGATGGTGCAGGCCTTGTGTGGACTCGGGATCTGTCCTACTCTTTCCTTGTAAACTCTGCAAAGGGCTAGGCCTAAGTCATCCAAGGCACACCTTTTCTTCATCTTTTCTTCTTTGCTTCTGTTTTTGTTGTTTTTTGTTGTTGTTTTTTTTTGGTTTCATTTGTGTGTGCGTGCACGTATGAATAGGACAGGACGGCACCAGCTACTATAGAATAAATGCCTCTAGTTGGGGTATAAGGGAGCCGATTCGGATAGGGGACGGCACGGAGCAGGCCGGACAAATCCAAGCGTGATTGTGGGAGAGACGTCGAATTTCTGGGATTGATAGACCACTGCATTTGCTGTGTATCCATTTGGCACAGGTGGTGCATCTGATCGAGTAACCCTGATTGGTCACGTTCCTATTGCATATTGTGCATTAGTACATCTCATCAGGTCCAAGGTTGATTTCGACGTCACCCGCCATTATTAACAGGAGACTCAGATCAGCCGGTTCAGCTGAGCCTCCGGACAAAAACTCGGTCGCCTTCATTCCTGTCTGAATCCAGGGGTTGATTGGCGTTCGGCCCGGAGCTGTACTTGTTCCGGGGTCTGCAGCACCGCGCAGAGGTCCCAATAATGACTGCTGACAAAGAGCTCTCGAGACTGTGCGCCGATTGCCCTCGTCCGACCTCGATATCTTCACTGACGGCCATGCCACTGACGGCTACAGGTTATATGGAGGAGGATACTGGTGTCTAGACAAATCTTCTGGGGAGGAAACATGCGTATCCGTGCCCCCGGGACTATACGGAAGAAGCTACCGAGTTGAAACGACCGCCCTGCTCCGCGCACTGCAATGGCTCGAAAAACAACCACGTTTTCAAAGAATCCACATCTTCACAGACTCCCAGTCAGTTGTTCAACACTTAATGTCCGGAGTGACTGCAGTTCGTACTGAGATAGAGGACAAAATGTGGACCACCATCTGCCAATGCTGTGAAATCCATGGACACCTTCACATACAATGGATACCAGGACATTGCAACATCTACGGGAACGATGAGGGAGGCCGCCTCGACCAATCCAACACTCCAGACGATATCGCTTCAGCAAGCTCGTGCATTTCGCGTTACATCATTGCCCAAGCATGGGAGAAAACGCGAGTGCACGACTCCGTCGGGGGAAAGGTGAAGCCACCACCGGAGAGGGACAAAGAGAAAGACCTTACCGTTAGACAGAGAAGAGTGTTATCGCAGCTAAGATGCAACGCGAAGAGCCCCATCCATGCAATAGGCTCCGCTCCCAATGATTCCTGTCTGGCGTGTGGCACAAGTCCTGACGACCTGCAGCACACACTGTATGAGTGTATGAGTGGCCACACTGTATGAGTGCCCGCGGGGGGAAGCACATCGAGGCCCACTTATGGAGAACAACACGAGACCGGGCCTGGATGTACTCTGGACGAGGCCACAAGAGGTTGCCGGTTACCTGTGTGCCTGCGGCAGACTGCCGCCCTCCTAACGGAGGCCAGCCAGAAGAAGAAGAAGAAGAAAATGCCTCTAGTAGTTTTCATATTTGTCGTATTTTTTTGTTCTTTGTCATTTTCTACATTTGTTTGAAGTCGCAAACACATTCATGCATATTTTGATGTGGGTCAAAATTTGATAAGGGTCCCAAATTAAGTATGCGACAAGTGGCAATATAGCTTACTACAGATTTTTTAGGTCAACTACAGATTTTTGGACAAAAATTTGCGTCAACTACAGATTTTGGCCCAGGCAATGTTGGCAGGTATGCAAATGGTCAGGGAATGAAATATCATTTAAAATGATAACCATTTTACTAGAATAATCCTCTTTTGACCCCCCCCCCCAACCTATCTCCATCCCCCTGTCTTTTGACCTTCTCATTGCATGTTATCATATGTGATTCTTCTGTGTATTGTTAAGTTTTGTTGAATTTATGAATAGGGGATAACTTTGAACGCATATGTTTGAATTCGATGGTTAAAAATATTGTCGTGCAAAATGGAAAAGGGTTAGTATACATGACATACATTTCTATTTTCAGATGGACCGAGTTCACAAGGAGCATAGGTTGATCTCCATCATGTCCGAGCACAAAAAGACGATCACCTCCATCTGCTGGTGCCCGGAGAAGCCCAACCATCTGGCCAGCTCAAGTGCGGACGGACTGGTCATTGTGTGGGACATAACAACACAAAGGCCGGTGGCAAAGTAAGTTCAGCTTAAGTATTGGAGTTTGGAGAGGAAGTCAATTTACGCGTGTTTGCTGTTTGCAATACTATCGACTCTGCTGTATCGCCTGTCCGAGACAGACACCTGTACAAACAACCACTCCCTCCTTCCCCCC